CTGATAACAGTGTAAAATGAATTTCATTTTCTATTCCAACGTTACATAAAGGATAATAAAGGTTTTTCTACCCTCATCAATCATTAAAAATAACAAACCTGAACCATGTGTAGAATACATACAATTTATACTTTCGTATTTGTGCTCTGCCTTTCTTGAGTTACATGTTATTATAAATGAGTCATTTATGTTATTTAATTTTGCAGCAAAAGTATATTTCATGTTTGGGTGCAGCTCAGCGTGACAACACGTCGGAGCGTAAAGTATGCTTTCATATAGATATAATGCTTTAAACAGCGTTGAAAAATCTGTCTGTCTACTCTACACAAAACAGGTCAGGAACAAAAATAGATAATCCACGTTCTCCGTGGGAAAGCAATTCTGTTTAACCACGTTAAAAATGTGTTTTGTCAAGAATTGCATGCAATACAGCACACATCTAAATACTGATAACCTCTGCTGAAGTATATTTAAAAGACACCATTTATTACATAACATCAATATTGTATTTCAGATTTCCGCGCAATACTATGATAACGTTTGACTAAACAATATGACACAGAGAAGTAAGAGCTTTTGAATTTTATGCAAAAAGTACAATGTCACAATCAAGTACATATTAAATGCTGTAACCGAATGCAAGAGTGAGTGAGTCTCTCTCTCTCTCTCTCTCTCTCTCTCTCTCTCTCTCTCTCTCTCTGAGAGCGTGTGCGAGAGAGTGTGTGTGTGTGACTGAGAGAGTTTCCGTGTCGTCGTGTGTGTGTGTGTGCGTGCGTGCGTGCGTGCGTGCGTGCGTGCGTGCGTGCGTGCTATCTCCGTGTCACTTGTTTATCCTGAACACCACATTAACAGTGTAACCTATGTACAGAAATACCAGTTGACAAGATAAGGCCATTCAATCGACATTAAATCACCTCATTGTGGCCTGAAAGGAAAGGCGCATAAAGATATTGTGGGAGGGTTGAGGTTTATACGAGATAAGAGATAAGACAGCACAAGAGGTTGCCAATGTGAAACCGATATTCTCTAGCCGTGTCATGCGTCAAACTTGGAAATGCCATATTGTATTTCAATTTTGAACATATGGTTTAAACATATTTATATTCTCAGAGAACCTGGTTTGGTAAACAAGCAAAACATTGCTTATATTAATACTTCACCAGTACATATGTAATATAACAGAATACACAAGAACTGGATACACGTAAACGTCAAATTAATTCCTATCATAAGTAGTAGCAAACTGTCGCTGACGCCTTCGGCTAGGTGGATACACCGGGACGTAAAAATCCCCGTACACCCCGCATCACAATAGTAAACAGAATTTATCTTAACGAATGTTTAAAGAAAGACAGACAGACAGACATAGTTTATTAAAGTGACCCATGTATGTAAACAAGATATAAAGTACATATAAAATAAACACATAATGTTTTACATACATCCAACCTTAACAGGCTTATGAGACACTGTTATCTAGAGGGTCAAAATATACACCTTAGAAAGATTTTTATAAAACTACATAAATACATAACCTTAGGTAAAAATATCTTAAATCTCTCTTCATGTAAATATAGCATCAAAACAAGCTGAAATTCAGTCATATATTTCACTAACATGGTACTGACTAGTCGATTTGAACCACTGCTTCACGGTTCACTGACTGCCGTGGATGCATGTTTTTTTTCCATGGGGCGGGGTATAAATGATATATTCTGCCTGATGATTTGTACTACACCACCCAAGCAGTGTACGACCGTGCACCCGGCATACATGGTAATTTGTTCAAGGTCACGTGAATCAATCAGAGATAGACATTACATGAGGTGAATAAATGTGCATTGTACGAGCTTAGGAACCATGAACTTGCAGTTACATTATTTGTGTACAGATATTGGTCTAGAATAATTTATCAATTCGTTTAGTCTTGAAGATGTATTGATGCAGGGACACCATTATGTTCTTGTTGACATTGTTGGTAGCTGGAGGTGTTCCTTTTTGTCACAGTTTGGAGTGAGTGAGCGAGTAAGTTTAGTTTTACGTCGCTCTCACCAATGTTCCAGCTATATGGCGGCGGTCTGTAAATAATCGAGTCTGGACCAGACAATCCAGGGATCAACAGCGTGAGCATCGATCTGCGCAATTGGATGAGTGTTTAGTTTTACGCCGCACTCAGCAATATTCCAGCTATATGGCGGCGGTCTGTAAATAATCGAGCCTGGATCAGACAATCCAGTGATCAACAGCATGATCATCGATCTGCGCAATTGGGAACCGATGACATGTGTCAACCAAGCCAGCGAGCCCGACCACCCGATCCCGTTAGTCGCCTCTTACGATGAGTATGGGTTACTGAAGACCAATTCTAACCCGGATCTTCACGGGTTTCACAGTTTTGTCTTCTTGAGAGGGTACGTAAGTCTCAAAACATTTGAAGTAAATTTAGATATACCAGGTTTATAATAGTAGGATACTTGTGTTTTTAAGTGATGGCTAAATTTGTGCACAATCGCCAACGTATGAAGGGACCATGTAAGTCCTTCTAGGGTTCTCGCAGGTAAAGTCGAAATGGTGATCTAAATTCAGTTGCTGGCTGTCTATAACCTGTTTTCATTTTGTGTATTGTCCAAATAGTGCTATTATATAAATATTAAATGCCAGGTTTAAATCTGATTGATATTCTGGATATTTCACTGTCCCTTGACGACAGGTTATATACTATACATTTATTCGTCATCAATGTTTAATTGGTTCAAGTCAAAATATGGCTGAAATATTGCCGATGTGACGATATACTGGAGTATATTAACTCACTCACACTCAAATCGTTTTCATCAGTGATATGTCTTTATTACATTTGTTTTCAACCAACCCTGATCAAAAGGATAAAATGAAGCAATTCGCATTCTGTTTTCATAAATAGTAGAAATAATTTGTTAAGTGTTTTTTTCGCAAACCAAAACAAATTAATTGTGAAATTAAGTTAGCTTGCCAGTGGGTCAAACTGTTTCGCCCATTGTGGACTGACATTTATTACTGAGTTTTGAGTAAAAGGAAATATTTTAGCCCATGGCCGATATATTTGTTATAGAGCTCTAAATTATCCGAATTAAGTCAAAAGATTGTATCATGATACTCAAAACGTACTTTCATCCATTAGCTACCTTCAAAACACGAAAACAACATGTATTTTGAGCAAATGTAAAGATTCTCGCCCATGGGCCAAATGTCTTTTCGCCCATGGGCGAGATTGTTTAAATAACGCTATAAATTAGTCGAAATTAGTCCTAACAGTTTAATCTTTTTGTCATGATACTTACAAACATACCATCATTCATTTACAACCTTCAAAAGAAGGAAAAACATGTATTTTGAGTAAAAGTAAATATTCTCGCCCATGGGCCAAAATGCTTTTCGCCCATGGTCGAGATTTTTTAATATCACTCTAAATTAACCGAATTAAGTCAAAATGAGTTGAAATTTGTGTCATGGTGCTTATAAACATACACTCATTCATTTACAACCTCCAAAACATGAATTCTGAGCGAAATTAAACATTCTCGCCCATGGGCCATTGTTCGCCCATGGGCCACAGTGCGGAGAGTTACTGGACTTTTGTGAGTCCAGAATTAAATTGTGACGTGTTATAAGATCTTTTCTGATATAGTTGAAAGCTGGACATAAAAATAAAACATGGATTTCATCCTTGACTACATTTTGGCAATTAAAACAAAATCTCTCGTTGTGCGGTATATTTTCATATTTCCCGTTTCAACTCTTATTGGGGCCACTCCACATCTGAACTTTGCTAAAGAACTTCTGTGACCTCGGAGAAGCGGACACTTAACATACTGTTCTGTTTCATATTTTGTTTTAAAAAGTGTATAGTTTCTCAATTTGTTTCCTCCTCGTCTTCCCCCTTCTTCATTCATCTTCTCTCTCCATCCGTGTCTGTATGCCGTATACATTGCTTCTTGCACGTTCATGATCAATGTGCTGTTTGAAACGGATCCACAAGTGGGCAGTAATAACAAACTATGGCCTTACTTCACCGATACTCCCAGCAGGGAGGGGGAGACAGGCGTATGTTAGGCTTTAGTATCAGTCACTAACTGCGTGTTATGTGCGCATATCATACTTCCAAGGGATACAAGATGGGTTCTGACTTTAAAATTCCAATTTTTCTTTTTGCTTTTGTTCGCCATTACAAATATCCTCTTATTCAATCTTCTGCTTATGGTATTAACGCATCTTATCCAATGTCTTAGCACAGATGTCCAATTCCTCACTTTGGGGGGCAGCCGTTCTCCGTTTAAAGCTGCGTTGGGTGCATATTTCCCTAGACCTAGGAACAATCTAATTGCTCTATGATGAACTGCGTTGATGCATGAGTATTCTGTTGTTCCCCATATTGCAGCGCCATAACTTATAACTGAAAAGACCATGGTGTCATAGAGCTTCGTAAATACATTATGGGGCATTCCGCTTAGAGTCTTAAACTTTGAGGTAAGCAGATATTTTTTATTTTGTGTGTGTGTGTGTGTGTGTGTGTGTGTGTGTGTGTGTGTGTGTGTCGCGTGTGTATGTTGTATGTATGTCGATATGGATATATGTGTGTGTCTCTGTGTGTGTGAGTGAGAGAGAGAGGGAGAGAGGGAGGGGAGAGGGGGAGAGAGAGGGAGAGGGGAGAGAGGGGGAGAGAGAGAAGGGGGGTGGTGGTTTGTATCAGTTTAATGCAGGAGCAACGCGATGTGAAGTTGATTAGTATTGAAAAACAAGTAACTTCAACGGCGGTCCTGGCTTCACTTCAAGACGCCATTTACCTCATCATTACGATGAGATCACTCATGCTCCCAACATTTAATCAGGATCGTACTTGTACTGTTAATACAGAAATGTATTTGAAGCTGTTCGGACTTCACTCAAGGACAAAACGGTGAGTCCTTATCTACATGTTGTCAACCACAAAGTGGATGAGGTCAAACACTTTATCTGACAGTATGGCAGCCCTACTTCCTTGTGTGGTGGTCCTACTGCTCACTGTTGGTGTGGTCGGGAGACACGCTGTAGGTAAGGCTGGTTATGTACTCTTGCTTGTGTGGTCGGGAGACACGTTGTAGGTGAGGCTGGTTATGTACTCTTGCTTGTGTGGTCGGGAGACACCCTGTAGGTGAGGCTGGTTATGTACTCTTGCTTGTGTGGTCGGGAGACACCCTGTAGGTGAGGCTGGTTATGTACTCTTGCTTGTGTGGTCGGGGGACACCCTGTAGGTGAGGTTAGTTATGTTTTCTTGCTTGTGTGGTCGGGGGACACCCTGTAGGTGAGGCTGGTTATGTACTCTTGCTTGTGTGGTCGGGGACACCCTGTAGGTGAGGCTGGTTATGTATTCTTGCTTGTGTGGTCGGGGACACCCTGTAGGTGAGGCTGATTATGTACTCTTGCTTGTGTGGTCGGGAGACACGCTGTAGGTGAGGCTAGTTATGTACTCTTGCTTGTGTGGTCGGGAGACACGCTGTAGGTAAGGATGGTTATGGACTCTTGCTTGTGTGGTCGGGAGACACGCTGTAGGTAAGGCTGGTTATGTACTCTTGCTTGTGTGGTCGGGAGACACGCTGTAGGTAAGGCTGGTTATATACTCTTGCTTGTGTGGTCGGGAGACACGCTGTAGGTAAGGGTGGTTATATACCCTTGCTTGTGTGGTCGGGAGACACCCTGAAGGTGAGGCTGGTTATGTATTCTTGCTTGTGTGGTCGGGGGACACCCTGTAGGTGAGGCTGGTTATGTACTCTTGCTTGTTTGGTCGGGGGACACCCTGTAGGTGAGGCTGGTTATGTACTCTTGCTTGTGTGGTCGGGGACACCCTGTAGGTGAGGCTGGTTATGTACTCTTGCTTGTGTGGTCGGGAGACACGCTGTAGGTAAGGCTGGTTATGTACTCTTGCTTGTGTGGTCGGGAGACACGCTGTAGGTAAGGCTGGTTATATACTCTTGCTTGTGTGGTCGGGAGACACGCTGTAGGTGAGGCTGGTTATGTACTCTTGCTTGTGTGGTCGGGGACACCCTGTAGGTGAGGCTGGTTATGTACTCTTGCTTTTGTGGTCGGGGGACACCCTGCAGCTGAGGCTGGTTATGTACTCTTGCTTGTGTGGTCGGGAGACACCCTGTAGGTGAGGCTGGTTATGTGCTCTTGCTTGTGTGGTCGGGAGACACCCTGTAGGTGAGGCTGGTTATGTATTCTTGCTTGTGTGGTCGGGAGACACCCTGTAGGTGAGGCTGGTTATTTGCTCTTGCTTGTGTGGTCGGGGGACACCCTGTAGGTGAGGCTGGTTATGTATTCTTGCTTGTGTGGTCTGGAGACACCCTGTAGGTGAGGCTGGTTATGTGCTCTTGCTTGTGTGGTAGGGAGACACCCTGTAGGTGAGGCTGGTTATGTCCTCTTGCTTGTGTGGTCGGGAGACACCCTGTAGGCGAGGCTCGTTATGTAGTCTTGCTTGTGTGGTCGGGGGACACCCTGTAGGTGAGGTTAGTTATGTTTTCTTGCTTGTGTGGTCGGGGACAGCCTGTAGGTGAGGCTGGTTATGTACCTTGCTTGTGTGGTCGGGGACACCCTGTAGGTGAGGCTGGTTATGTATTCTTGCTTGTGTGGTCGGGGACATCCTGTAGGTGAGGCTGAGTATGTACTCTTGCTTGTGTGGTCGGGAGACACCCTGAAGGTGAGGCTGGTTATGTATTCTTGCTTGTGTGGTCGGGGGACACCCTGTAGGTGAGGCTGGTTATGTACTCTTGCTTGTTTGGTCGGGGGACACCCTGTAGGTAAGGCTGGTTATATACTCTTGCTTGTGTGGTCGGGAGACACGCTGTAGGTAAGGGTGGTTATATACTCTTGCTTGTGTGGTCGGGAGACACGCTGTAGGTAAGGCTGGTTATGTACTCTTGCTTGTGTGGTCGGGGGACACCCTGTAGGTGAGGCTGGTTATGTACTCTTGCTTGTGTGGTCGGGGGACACCCTGCAGCTGAGGCTGGTTATGTACTCTTGCTTGTGTGGTCGGGAGACACCCTGTAGGTGAGGCTGGTTATGTACTCTTGCTTGTGTGGTCTGGAGACACCCTGAAGGTGAGGCTGGTTATGTGCTCTTGCTTGTGTGGTCGGGAGACACCCTGTAGGTGAGGCTGGTTATGTATTCTTGCTTGTGTGGTCGGGAGACACCCTGTAGGTGAGGCTGGTTATGTGCTCTTGCTTGTGTGGTAGGGAGACACCCTGTAGGTGAGGCTGGTTATGTACTCTTGCTTGTGTGGTCGGGAGACACCCTGTAGGTGAGGCTCGTCATGTAGTCTTGCTTGTGTGGTCGGGGGACACCCTGTAGGTGAGGCTGGTTATGTACTCTTGCTTGTGTGGTCGGGGGACACGTTATAGGTGAGGCTGGTTATGTATTCTTGCTTGTGTGGTCTGGAGACACCCTGTAGGTGAGGCTGGTTATTTGCTCTTGCTTGTGTGGTCGGGGGACACCCTGTAGGTGAGGCTGGTTATGTACTCTTGCTTGTGTGGTCGGGGACACCCTGTAGGTAAGGCTGGTTATGTAGTCTTGCTTGTGTGGTCGGGGGACACCCTGTAGGTGAGGCTGGTTATGTATTCTTGCTTGTGTGGTCGGGGACACGTTGTAGGTGAGGCTGGTTATGTAGTCTTGCTTGTGTGGTCGGGGGACACTCTGTAGGTGAGGCTAGTTATGTGCTCTTGCTTGTGTGGTCGGGAGACACCCTGTAGGTGAGGCTGGTTATGTACTCTTGCTTGTGTGGTCGGGAGACACCCTGTAGGTGAGGCTCGTCATGTAGTCTTGCTTGTGTGGTCGGGGGACACCCTGTAGGTGAGGCTGGTTATGTATTCTTGCTTGTGTGGTCGGGAGACACCCTGTAGGTGAGGCTGGTTATGTGCTCTTGCTTGTGTGGTAGGGAGACACCCTGTAGGTGAGGCTGGTTATGTACTCTTGCTTGTGTGGTCGGGAGACACCCTGTAGGTGAGGCTCGTCATGTAGTCTTGCTTGTGTGGTCGGGGGACACCCTGTAGGTGAGGCTGGTTATGTACTCTTGCTTGTGTGGTCGGGGGACACGTTGTAGGTGAGGCTGGTTATGTATTCTTGCTTGTGTGGTCGGGAGACACCCTGTAGGTGAGGCTCGTCATGTAGTCTTGCTTGTGTGGTCGGGGGACACCCTGTAGGTGAGGCTGGTTATGTATTCTTGCTTGTGTGGTCGGGAGACACGCTGTAGGTAAGGCTGGTTATATACTCTTGCTTGTGTGGTCGGGAGACACGCTGCAGGTAAGGGTGGTTATATACCCCTTGCTTGTGTGGTCGGGAGACACCCTGTAGGTGAGGCTGGTTATGTATTCTTGCTTGTGTGGTCGGGAGACACGCTGTAGGTAAGGGTGGTTATATACCCTTGCTTGTGTGGTCGGGAGACACCCTGAAGGTGAGGCTGGTTATGTATTCTTGCTTGTGTGGTCGGGGACACCCCTGTAGGTGAGGCTGGTTATGTACTCTTGCTTGTTTGGTCGGGGACACCCTGTAGGTGAGGCTGGTTATGTGCTCTTGCTTGTGTGGTCGGGGGACACCCTGTAGGTGAGGCTGGTTATGTACTCTTGCTTGTGTGGTCGGGAGACACCCTGTAGGTGAGGCTGGTTATGTACTCTTGCTTGTGTGGTCGGGAGACACCCTGTAGGTGAGGCTGGTCATGTAGTCTCTTGCTTGTGTGGTCGGGGGACACCCTGTAGGTGAGGCTGGTTATGTACTCTTGCTTGTGTGGTCGGGGGACACGTTGTAGGTGAGGCTGGTTATGTATTCTTGCTTGTGTGGTCGGGAGACACCCTGTAGGTGAGGCTCGTCATGTAGTCTTGCTTGTGTGGTCGGTCGGGGACACCCTGTAGGTGAGGCTGGTTATGTACTCTTGCTTGTGTGGTCGGGAGACACCCTGTAGGTGAGGCTCTGTTATGTAGTCTCTGCTTGTGTGGTCGGGGACACCCTGTAGGTGAGGTTAGTTATGTTTTCTTGCTTGTGTGGTGGTCGGGGACAGCCTGTAGGTGAGGCTGGTTATGTACTCTTGCTTGTGTGGTCGGTAGACACCCTGTAGGTAAGGCTGATTGTGTACTCTTGCTTGTGTGGTCGGGGACACCCTGTAGGTGAGGCTGGTTATGTGCTCTTGCTTGTGTGGTCGGGGACACCCTGTAGGTGAGGCTGGTTATGTACTCTTGCTTGTGTGGTCACCCTGGGAGACACCCTGTGGTCAGGGAGACAGGTGAGGCTCGTCATGTACTCTTGCTTGTGTGGTCTGGAGACACCCTGTAGGTGAGGCTGGTTATGTACTCTTGCTTGTGTGGTCGGGAGACACCCTGTAGGTGAGGCTCGTCATGTAGTCTTGCTTGTGTGGTCGGGGGACACCCTGTAGGTGAGGCTGGTTATGTATTCTTGCTTGTGTGGTCGGGAGACACGCTGTAGGTAAGGCTGGTTATATACTCTTGCTTGTGTGGTCGGGAGACACGCTGTAGGTAAGGGTGGTTATATACCCTTGCTTGTGTGGTCGGGAGACACCCTGAAGGTGAGGCTGGTTATGTATTCTTGCTTGTGTGGTCGGGGGACACCCTGTAGGTGAGGCTGGTTATGTACTCTTGCTTGTGTGGTCGGGGACACCCTGTAGGTGAGGCTGGTTATGTACTCTTGCTTGTGTGGTCGGGAGACACCCTGTAGGTGAGGCTGGTTATGTACTCTTGCTTGTGTGGTCTGGAGACACCCTGTAGGTGAGGCTGGTTATGTACTCTTGCTTGTGTGGTAGGGAGACACCCTGTAGGTGAGGCTGGTTATGTCCTCTTGCTTGTGTGGTCGGGAGACACCCTGTAGGTGAGGCTCGTTATGTAGTCTTGCTTGTGTGGTCGGGGGACACCCTGTAGGTGAGGTTAGTTATGTTTTCTTGCTTGTGTGGTCGGGGGACAGCCTGTAGATGAGGCTGGTTATGTATTCTTGCTTGTGTGGTCGGGGGACACGTTGTAGGTAAGGCTGGTTATGTATTCTTGCTTGTGTGGTCGGGGGACACGTTGTAGGTGAGGCTAGTTATGTACTCTTGCGTGTATGGTCGAGCAAACTCAAAGGTACTTATCTGATATAGTGAGTGAGTGACTGAGTGAGTGAGTGAATTGGGTTTTTCGACGCTTGTAGCAATATTTAAGCAATATTACGGCGGGGGACACCAGAAATGGGCTTTACACATTGTACCCATGTGAAGAATTGAACCCGGGTTTTCGGCGTGACGATCGAACTCTTTAACCACTTAGCTACCCTAGTGCCCACTTATGTTTATAAACTGTTTATGTAGCTGTGTTTGCGTGATCTGGGATTAACTGGCAGGTGAGTCTGTGATTGTTGTGGTGCTTGTGTGATCAACGGTAAACATACAGGTGAATCTGTGAGTGTCGTGGTGTTTGTGTGGTCAAAGGTAAACATGCAGGTGAATCTGTGAGTGTTGTGGTATTTGTGTGGTCAAAGGTGAACATGCAGGTGAATCTGTGATTGTTGTGGTGTTTGTGTGGTAAAAGGTAAACATGCAGGTGAATCTGTGAGTGTTGTGGTGTTTGTGTGGTAAAGGTAAACATGCAGGTGAATCTGTGATTGTTGTGGCCTTGGTGTGGGCAAAGGTGAAAATGCAGGTCAAAGTGTGATTGTTGTGGTGTCTGTGTGATCAAGGTAAACATGCAGGTGAATCTGTGAGTGTTGTGGTGTCTGTGTGATCAAGGTAAACATGCAGGTGAATCTGTGATTGTTGTGGTGTCTGTGTTATCAAAGGTAATCATGCAGGTGAATTTGTGATTGTTGTGGTGTCTGTGGGGTCAAAGTCTGTTATGGTGTTTGTGTGGGTAAACATGAAGGTGAATCTTGTATTGTTATGGTGTTTGTGTGATTGTGTGATCAAAGGTAATCATGCAGGTGAATCTGTGATTGTTGTGGTCTTGGTGTGGGCAAAGGTGAAAATGCAGGTCAAAGTGTGATTGTTGTGGTGTCTTTGTGATCAAGGTAAACATGCAGGTGAATCTGTGAGTGTTGTGGTGTCTGTGTGATCAAGGTAAACATGCAGGTGAATCTGTGATTGTTGTGGTGTCTGTGGGGTCAAAGTCTGTTATGGTGTTTGTGTGGGTAAACATGCAGGTGAATCTGGTATTGTTATGGTGTTTGTGTGATTGTGTGATGAAAGGTAAACATGCAGATAAATATGTGAGCGGAGTGGTGTTTGTGTGATCAAAGGTGAACATGCAGGTGAATCTGTGATTGTTGTGGTGTCTGTGTGATCAAAGGTAAATATGCAGGTGAATCTGTGATTGTTGTGGTGTCTGTGTGATCAAAGGTAAATATGCAGGTGAATCTGTGATTGTTGAGGTGTTTGTGTGATCAAAGGTAAATGTGTAGGTGAAACTGTGATTGTTGTGGTGTTTGTGTGATCAAGGTAAATATGCAGGTGAATCTGTGAGTGTTGTGGTGTCTGTGTGATCAAGGTAAACATGCAGGTGAATCTGTGATTGTTGTGGTGTCTGTGGGGTCAAAGTCTGTTATGGTGTTTGTGTGGGTAAACATGCAGGTGAATCTGGTATTGTTATGGTGTTTGTGTGATTGTGTGATGAAAGGTAAACATGCAGATAAATATGTGAGCGGAGTGGTGTTTGTGTGATCAAAGGTGAACATGCAGGTGAATCTGTGATTGTTCTGGTGTCTGTGTGATCAAAGGTAAATATGCAGGTGAATCTGTGATTGTTGTGGTGTCTGTATGATCAAAGGTAAATATGCAGGTGAATCTGTGATTGTTGTGGTGTTTGTGTGATCAAAGGTAAATATGCAGGTGAATATGTGATTGTTGAGGTGTTTGTGTGATCAAAGGTAAATGTGTAGGTGAAACTGTGATTGTTGTGGTGTTTGTGTGATCAAAGGTAAATATGCAGGTGAATCTGTGATTGTTGTGGTGTCTGTGTGATCAAAGGTATATATGCAGGTGAATATGTGATTGCTGTGGTGTTTGTGTGATCAAAGGTAAATATGCAGGTGAATATGTGATTGTTGTGGTGCTTGTGTGGTCAAAGGTAAACATGCAGGTGAATCTGTGATTGTTGTGGTGTTTGTGTGATCAAAGGCAAATATGCAGGTGAAACTGTGATTTTTGTGGTGTCTGTGTGGTCAAAGGTAAACATGCAGGTAAATCTGTGATTGTTGTGGTGTCTGTAATCAAAGGTAAACATGCAGATGAATCTGTGATTGTTGTGGTATCTGTGTGGTCAAAGGTAAACATGCAGATGAATCTGTGATTGTTGTGGTGTCTGTGTGGTCAAAGGTAAACATGCAGGTAAAATGTGATTGTTGTGGTGTCTGTAATCAAAGGTAAACATGCAGATGAATCTGTGATTGTTGTGGTATCTGTGTGATCAAAGGTAAACATGCAGGTGAATCTGTGATTGTTGTGGTGTCTGTGTGATCAAAGGTAAATATGCAGGTGAATCTGTGATTGTTGTGTTGTCTGTGTGATCAAAGGTAAATATGCAGGCGAATCTGTGATTGTTGTGGTGTCTGTGGTCAAAGGTCTTCTTACCCTGAAAATGTCCACTGATTACGTATGCATACCAATTAATGATCCCGAGAAAGCCCTCGTCTTCAGCATCCCGTCCTTGAAGACAAACGGGATCGAGTGGTCAGGCTTGCTGACTTGGCTGATGCAAGGCATGGTATCCTAAATCCGTAGATCGACGTTCATGATGTCAGTCACTGGACTGTCTGGTTCAGGCACGATTATTTACAGATTGTCGTCCTATGGCTCAAATAGTGCGACGTTTACCAACAAACAAACAAAACAAGATAATATATTAGAAATATCAATAACTGCACCTGATTCTAGATGACTGTCGACAACACGGTGGAACCTGTTCCCCTGATCACGACGGTTGTCAACATATATTTTGGTCCGGCTACTGTCATCGCCAACACGGCCACACCCACCTGTGTTGTGTGAGACAACATCCCGTGACACACGTCACAACAGGTGACCCCCTTTTACATATGCTTAAACACACCACATAGTAATATATCTTTTGGAATTGGAAATATCTTTTTGCTCAAAACGTATGTTTTGTGTACTGCTAAATGTGTGTTCACAAGTATCATGACACGTGTAATGTATTCATTATTATGACATGTGTTATATCCTGTTTTGTTAAATTAAAAGGAAGACGTGACGAATACAGTCAAAATAGTGCCTTAATACAAATCAATAGTTTTCATTTCTGCAAGTTCCTTATAGTTTACATGTTCACAACGTGTCAACAAGGTTGATTTAGTTGTTATTCGCACAACGTTTCACTTTCAGCAAAAAAAGCAGTCTTTCTGTTTTGTTTCATTTTAAAGAGATATTACAAAATTGTCAGTGTAATCTAATTATTTACACAGCATTAGCAAATTGTGACTGATAACAGCTGTGTGTTTTATTTTCATGCCATTGCCAATAATTACAGCTCACAGAAAAACACTGCAAAATATGTTTCATTTGCATAACGCTTGTTCCAAATTTACACGTTTCCTCCTGTTAACTCTATGTGTCATGAATTGTCTGCATTTTAGTTTAAGAAGAATTTAATTTTGCAGATATTACTCAAATAAATTAAAATATTAACAGGACAAACAGTGTTTTCATCGCATTAAGTTGACTTTCTTATATTGAATCACAAAGTTATTCCTCCCCCATATTTGAAACTTCAGTATTTTGTTAGTTAAATACAATGCATCTGTTTCAAATGTGGTTTAACATATTGAGCTTTTTACCCATTGCGTTTTAAATCTCTTACTTGGTGGCAAAGAGACAACTCACATCGCCTATTGCTCAGAATATTGATGGTTTCCGTAATAACAATAAAGTACAATTTACTTCCATAGGTAATGAAACCTCTAACAGGTAATGCTGAACTGATCAGAACTACAACTACAACCACAACCACAACCACAACCACAACCACAACCACAACCACAACCACAACCACAACTATAACTGTAATTAAAACTATAATTATGACTATTAATTATTACTATACTTGGGAGGCCCTTGCTCATACAATAGAGGAGACTGACACAGCGCTGTCCACTGACAAGATAGAAAAGCTAGCCTTAGTCTGTTTCAAAAGCACTTGATTTTGTTAACAGGGAGGAGGAAGTACTGAGTGGATCAGGGACATTACATCGTGTTAATGGCGTGCTTGTTCAACCAACTTCCATGACCTAAGTGTCATCCAGATCAAAATGTATGAGGATAAAGTTGAGTATTCTGATAAAAAAACAAAACTTTCCAAACTTGTCCAGGGAAAAAGGGAAGGCCCACCGTGATCTGAGCCAGTTGACCTTTATTCAGAATCTGAAAGAAACTGTGGTTTCTTCTGAGAATGCATGATCCAACAAAACAGACATTACTATCTTTGGCAGGAAATAACATACTGACAAGAGATGAGGTAAAGGTTTGTTTTTTTCATACAGTAGATTACACAATTAATGCCTCAGCAACAGAAATTGCAACTGAACAAGAAATTATCCATCCGTCTGTCTACATCCATCGCTGCAAATTCAGAATATAGTTGTGGTTTGTGAACAGGCTGGTTTGTGACTTGCGGCACATTTATAAGTACAAATTAAATCTTTGGACATGCGCAGTCATCGACTTGTACATGAAGTGTATTTCAGAAGGCAGGACACGTTCTATAATTCTCATACCAATCTTTCAAAGTTTTCCATAAATTTATTTGACATTTCCAGTAGGCCTAAACTGGTTCCATGACTACCTCCAAATTCAATAAAATCCATCAAACGTGAATCCGTGAAGCTTTGATGGATAATGAAGGGTGTTACAACAGTAACAGTCCAATGCGAGCAACAGCAAAGTCCACAGAATCAACGTTCATCTTACACCCCGACTTTTGATGTAAAGCATGCTCGTTTTCTTCCTTGGTGATGAAGGCTTCATCAGTCACTCACCCCATGTTTTTCTCCCCTACAGATGCACCAGCTCCGAAACCAACACAAGCCATCCAATATAGCCACCCATGTAAGTTACTCATATGGGTTCGTCTGATTTATTTTCTACTTTTTACTTAAACCTGTATGAGAAATTTAATTAAAAAAGATATCTTGAGTGCAATGCTTTACATATGTACAAATGGAGTGTCTTACCAAAGTTATCTCCCTTAGCACAATGCGGAACCCGTGCGTTTGCCGGCGGTATCCTTGGAAGAAGAATCGTAGGAGGGTCGCGGTCTGCACCGGGGGAGTGGCCTTGGCAGGTGGGTTGACTGGTGAAATGTGTACAACCCACAGATGTTAACTGTGGGGGAGAAGCAGATGCTGAACAAATTGTTTGTCATGACTTAGAAGTGATATGTATACAACCTACAGGTGCTAGCTATGGGGGAGAAGTGGATACTGAACTAATTGTTTGTCATGACTTAGAAGTGATATGTGTACAACCTACAGGTGCTAGCTATGGGGGAGAAGTGGATACTGAACTAATTGTTTGTCATGACTTAGAAGTGATATGTGTACAACCTACAGGTGCTAGCTGTGGGGAGAAGTAGATGCTGAACTAATTGTTTGTCCTGACTGAGAAGTGATATGAGTACTCGTTCTTTACGTCACTTGCTATTATATTGTCAGGTGCTCCTGGGGGTGGACACACCTTTGAAACGGATAGTCGTACACAATGCACTTCGCCAGGCAGAGTTGCGTCCCTTAGTTCGTATTCTCATGTCAGGATGTCAAGACACTTTCTCCACCTATAGGCTACCACTGTTGACACGTATATGTCCTTGTCCAGTTCACAGGTTTATATAAGAAGACAAAGAGGGAAGTCAAGACACTTTTTCCATCTACAACGTTAGTAGTATACACAATGGGGCTACTGGACCAGGATTTTTAAATTAAGCCCTTGAGGAGTCCCTAATCCCGTAGTCCCATTGTGTATACTACTACTGAGGAGCATGCAAAATTTGATGAAAATCGTTCAAATAGTTTCTGAAATATTGACTTTTAAGTGAGCATGGGGTCGGAAAAGGCAAAATGTCCAACTTTTTGTCGTAATTAAGTCTTAATTAATCTAATGAAGTCATCGAGAGTGTTCCCAATGCCGTTTTGCTATAGCGTAACCATCTGCCGAGATGCATGCAAAATGTAACGAAAATCGGTCAAATAGTTTAGGAAATAATCACTTTTTAGTGAGCACGGGGTCGGTCTGGCGAAAGGCTAACAATCCAACTTATTGTCGTACTTGTTATATATTATCAAGGCGAGAGGTGTTTTTAGCTGAATGAAACTCAGGTCTCGGAAGTCATCATCACGCTTCCGTCTCGGGGGTTGCTTTGAGCGAGCGCCGTGGACGAGTACAAGTGTGTATGCGTGTGTCTCTCGGCTCGGCTATGATGATGATGCACGTCTAGCTGCCTAGAGAGGCTACAGATGTCTGAAAGTGAATGAAACGCATCTTTCGGCAGTTTGCCCCCGGGTCGTCGTCTCGGTATCACCGACCGAGCGCTGTTGGCGAGTCGCGGTGTGTGGCTCAGCTCGGCTTGTACAGCTGACTGGCTGGCAACGTTATGTTGATTTCCACCAAATCATACCACATCTCTCGGCAGTTTCCCTGGGTCGACTCGCTGCCGTGTCAGTAGCATTGAGAGAGTGCTGTGGGTGAGTCGCAGTGTGTGTGTGTGTGTGTGTGTGTGTGTGTGATTCGGCTCGGCTATTTACCTACAGCTCGCTGAGATGGCTGGCTACGTTATGTTGATGTCCGCGAAACAGTTTATTGTAAATCTCCTATGATTTGTTTGGTTTTCATAATGAAGGCTTTTCGGGCCTGTTGCTTCCCTTTTTCAATGAATTTTTTTCTCGTCTTCGCAAATGACGGCGTTTTTACAAGATTTGGTCAGAATGTCTTGTTTCATTCTGTGATATTTTGCGATTTCTGATAGTACGCAAGGAAACTCTTCCTCGGAGACTTTAGAGTCGGTGAGCACGGTGGGAATATGATCATCTATTGTGTTTAACTTCGCTTTGGCTAGAATTCTAATTTCGTCGTGTTTCAATGCTTTACGTTTCAGTCTGCGAGCAGCGTTCCGCTGTTCACGACTTTCGTCAGGTAGTGATCTTTGTTGTCTGTGAAAACGTGGGGAGAGTCGAGCGTGATGTTGAGATTCCAGTCGAATTGGGATGGCACTAATACCCATTTGTTGTTGTTGTTGAAAATGAGAGTCTACAGCGTGTTTCTGGAGACGGTCGTGGTCTCGACGTCGTCAAGGTGCAACAGCCTACCGCAGAAGGCTGAGGTTATCGTCCATTCGTCCTCGTCGTTGCGTATCAGGTTGTACCAAGTGTTGTTGACTGCTCCTTCGGTATCGACGAAATCGCCAAGGTCCTTGTTCTTACCACCAGCACCGGCGGCAGTAGAGGGTGGCAGTTTGATGCGTTTGTAAAGTATCAGTTGCAAGGTGTACAGTTTGCCGTCGACTCCGGGTTCGTCGAATCCGCGATTTTCCCAAGGTCGGAGATCGCTATATTGGCGCATTTTAGAACGCGTGTTCCTGGACCATGGACCGTCGCGCTGCATATATCTTGTACTTATGGGATCGTGTTTAACGTCTAAAACCGAAATTTTCAATTCCGTGATGTTGCCTCGGATTAATTTCTTGTACTGCCGCGATGAAAACGATTCGGTTCTGCCGTCGATGTACTTTTCCGTATTTACCGGCATGGCTCTCAGCAGTGTGGAAGGTCGTTCGCCTTGAAGGTTGTCCGTCGTGCTCAGCTGATCGAGATGAATGCACAGTTTGCAGTGCGGAATGAGATCGGGTAATGTCGTACTGGTCACGGTGTTTTCCGGTTGTATGTCGTTTTTTAGTCTCAAGTCGTTTTTTCAGTTGTTGACTAACACGACCGTGCCGTTCGAGTCTTCATTTTTAGTTCAGCTCCCACAGGTTTGAAGATTTCTTCGTTGAGCGAGCACACGCTGTAGTAGCCGTCCATTATTTGGTTGCGGGCGTTATTGACGAACAGCCTGTTGTTTCTGCCGTTGATGTTGATCCATCGCGGGTAGTAGGTGTTGTCGCAGAGCGCACCTTCTTGCTGACCGGACGTGTTATCGATCACATGCAGCAGCTGAACGGACTCGACGCTCGTGATTCCCGGAAGCGTCACGTACATATTGAAAAGTAGATATGTATACAAATATAGCTTTTAATCACTGCGTCCCTTCATTATCGATTTGAACTTCGGATAGTCGCACGCAATGGTTCAACGTAATTTTTTGTGTGCTTTAAAGCATTGTAATACTCGTCCACAGCCTGCTTCGTTGCACACAGTGTCCCCCATGAACGAGGTACCTCGTCAAAGGCTGCTGCATCATTGTCGTTCAGCTGGTGTACGTTGAAATTGTCCATGGGAATATCGTCAGACATTTTTTTATATTATGAAACTTTCCGAAGATCGGGAGAGCTGCTCGGTGTCAAAGCAGTGCGTCAGTTGGTGACGATCACCAACAATCCGAGCACAATCGATCAAAACTAAATGCTGCTGGTTCGATTCCGCAACCCTGGTGAGAAAGATGTCATCATCCCCGGCACGGCTCGACTGGCTTTTTACATCACGTTGGAGTCCACGAACGACAAACGCACGGTCGTGCGCAACCTGGGTCGCGCCATCGTCAAGAAATCCACCATCAAAATCAGCTGGAACGAGGTCAGCAGTGATGTGTTTTACTGTTACACGGACCTCTGGAGAACCTCAAACAAACGCAATGACATGGCGTATCAACGACTTTGTCGGAATAACGATGTATCGAATGAAATCCATGTGGGGTATGGTTTCATGCAAGACCAGCTCGGCAATATAACAGCAGGAGAAAAAGCTGTTGCCGAGGCGTACAGGATTTGCATACCGCTTCGAGCCACTCGAGGGGCACATGCCATTTTACCAAGCCACACTGGGAGACCGGCTGGAATACGAACTCATGTTCAACGACTACGGCAAAGTTATCTTCATGCAGGACGGCACCGAGGCCAGCTATGTCGTCGACAACATCTCGGTGGAGTTCGACATGGTCATGAGTACGGAACTGTCCCAGCATATTCACCAACAGTACTCGGGAAAGCTGTCCCATCCTGTGTTGCGACAGAGCAACATGCTGTGGAACATCAACTTGAACATGCCGCCTCGATCGATGAAAGGCATCTTGATCATTCCCGTGGTGGAGTACGAGCCGTTTCGAAGAATCCCGGAATCCCGAGATCACGAAAGTGGAAGGTGTGCCCAACCACCTGTTCAGCCAAGGCAAGCGAGCTCATCAGCAGTGGGACGAGATAAAAAAACTACCGGCCATCAAGCCACACTCGTATGAAGTCAACGACGTCGCCAAAGACCTGAGTTTCACCTACATGACGCTCAGTAAGTACCTGGATAAGCATTACGCACTGTGGCTGGACATGGGATCCACAAACAACGACAGACTACACGGCAGCAGGCGCCGCATTGACAACAGCAGCGAGGGGATCACCAACCAAATCTCCAAGGGGCAAAATCCGACTGGCAAGTTAAATTTATATTTGTATGTGATTATGGACGCACAACTCAATATAGACAATGGAATATTCGTGCAAGCCATTTATTGATTTACCTCGCGATCGCCACTGCACCATCGTGTGCGGTCAGACGGGATGCGGCAAGATGGCATTCGTGCTGTACATGCTGGAAGGTTACTATCGTGATGTGTTCAACCACATGGTCATACTCTGCCCCACTTTACGGGTGAACAAGACGTACCCGGAGAGACCGTGCGTGATGACGGACCCGGACTTGCACAAAATCGACCTGGTAATTCGTCTGCAGTACTGGTTGCAGGTTTACCACGACAAGCTGAAAGGGGAATCGATGCTGTTCATCCTGGACGACTGCAGCGCAACAGGAGGAGGAAACGCTGATGGAAGAATAACGACGACACACACCGATACAACTAGTCACCACCAAGAATCCTAAAAAGTCGCCGCTAGAAGAAATGGTGGTTTAGCCAAGCACCGCAAAAATAATACCCATTACACTCCGTGGATTGTTGCCGCCGTGGCAACGGGATTAAGCGTGGTCGTTGTTATGCTGCTATATAATAATAACAAGCCACCACCACCGCAACAGCAGACGATGCAATTAGAAATAAATCCGCATGTTAAGTTATATTTTTGTTAAAAAATATATATCTATTTTATATACACACAATGTCGTCCGAAGGAAAAACATTCCTCAACGATGCATATCACGCCGCCGTCGTCGCCGGACAAACTGTAGGTTACGCTCGCTTAACGAAAATGGTTCTCAAACAGCCAAAGATCAAACTCAATTTCAAAGTGCAGGACATGAGCATGCTCGTCATGGACTTAGGGATGGTGATGGCCACCAAGGACATTCTCGTGAAACAAGGAATTATATCGGAAAATATTTTGAAGTAATATTAAAAAAACACATAATATATGAAAGAATGGCTATGATCGCCATGATGGTCGGTGGTGCATTAGTCAACGCCCTGGCATTTTCCGGCAGCAATTATCTCTTCTCCAAATTACGAACGTCGAACGCGGCCGAAATGGAAGGGGAACGTAAACGTCAAGATTTGGCCTTGGAGAAACTGCAAGCCGCGCAAGCCGAGTTCACCAAAAAACGCGTGCAGAGAATACAGTTCATCAACGACCAACTCTCGCGCGAAACCACGCCGTTCAAACGTTCAAGAACGTCGATGACGCCATGCGAGAATACTACCTGCTCACCAGCAAACGACTCGAACCTCTCCGCGATGAATCCACCCTCTTGCAGTTTTACACACCTTTCCCGGAACAGAAAGACCGGGAACTGATTTTCGTGGCGCTGGGTCAAGCGGTGATCGTGTTGATTGCCAAACAATTGGACTAAAATATATTTATGTGCATATATATAAAGATGGGAAAACGTGCACCGTATAACTGCAAGTATGTGCTGCCAGGAAAAAACGAAACCTGCGGCAGGAAATGCACCACCGAATATTGAGGCATACACATGATGTCCATACGAAAGGGTTTCGTGAATTACAGTGCGAAATGTGCGGCGTGGACGTGAAATGCCATTATCATCGTTGCAAAGCCCAAGGAGCGGACGTGGTAAGAGGCCATCTTATCTACTTGACGAAATGCTCATTAAAAAGTGATTATTTCCTAAACTATTTGACCGATTTTCGTTAAATTTGGCATGCATCACGGCAGATGGTTACGCTATAGCAAAACGGCATTGGGAACACTCTCGGTGACTTCATTACATTAATTTAGACTTACTTACGACAAAAAGTTGGACAGTTTGCCTTTTCCGACCGACCCCATGCTCACTTAAAAGTCAATATTACAGAAACTATTTGACCGATTTTCATCAAATTTTGCATGCTCCTCAGTAGTAGTAAACACAATGGGGCTACAGGATTAGGGACTCCTCAAGGGCTCAATATATAGCGGGGGGGGGGGGGGAAGGAGGGGCCTGGTCCCGTAGCCCCATTGTGTATACTACGACGTTACAACTATACACACTGATATGTGCTTTTCCTGTTCACAGGTTCATATAAGAAGACACAGAGGGACGTCAATACCTTTTCTCCGCCTACAACGCTACCACAATAGGCTCTTATATGTCCTTTTCCTGTTCACAGGTTTATATAACGTATGACGGCAAGTCCGCCTGTTCAGGTGTAATCATCGCAGACACTTGGGTCCTCACGGCCGCACACTGCATTCAAAAGTAAGTTTTCAATTAGCATAACTACAGGAACTGAACGTTTAGATTCCTGACACTGATTGTTGCCATTTCCCGTTCTGTTGTGTGTGCCTAAATAACAGTACTATGCGTGTCGTATGTTTCCGTTTCTTTTGTATGTGCCTAAATAACAGTACTATACGTGGCGTATGTCTTCCTTATTTCTGTATGTGCTTCAATAACAGTATTATACATGGCGTATGTTTTCCTTTCTGTTGTATGTGCCTAAATAACAGTATTATGCGTGTCGTATGTTTTCCTTTCTGTTGTATGTGCCTAAATAACAGTACTATACGTGGCGTATGTTTTCCTTTCTGTTGTATGTGCTTAAATAACAGTATTATACATGGCGTATGTTTTCCTTTCTGTTGTATGTGCCTAAATAACAGTATTATGCGTGTCGTATGTTTGCATTTCTGTTGTATGTGCCTAAATAACAGTACTATACGTGGCGTATGTTTTCCTTTCTGTTGTATGTGCCTAAATAACAGTATTATACGTGGCGTATGTTTCCGTTTCTTTTGTATGTGCCTAAATAACAGTACTATACATGGCGTATGTCTTCCTTTCTGTTGTATGTGGCTAAATACAGTACATGTAATATTTATAAAAACATATATCGGCGGGGTTTTGTGATCACAAGCAGGTTTATTTGTGAAATTTATAATGTAATAAAAAGAGAATCTCACCTGATATCAATTATGTCAACACGAGTTGATAAAGTTACAAATTTACATATTTTAACTTTTATCAATGAGTTTTGATAAATTTGATATCAGAAGACACGAGGGTGAGATTCTATTTATCATCCAAAATTATTCTTCATTAGTTTTCAATGGAAAATGTACATCTCTGAACACGGTACTGCCATTAGACTTACAATGCAGCGATGTCATAGCATTGTGACGTCATCAAGTTCATGACGTCATAGCACTGTCAGGGCATTGAACAAAATCTACTGTCAAACGATATCTTAGGATATATCGTTTAATCTCACACAGAACACAGTTGTGGATACTAAAGAAATGTATTACTCGCCCGTGGAAGATACTGCAGTGTAATAAGTTTATAGAGAATACTACACGAGGTCTCATTACATACGAATTATACGAAACGAGTGTCCTTCCTATGGTAACTGACCGAGCGAAAGCGAGGTCAGAAACCATAGGAAGGTCACAGTTTCGTATAATTCGTATGTTATGAGACCGAGTGTGGTATTTTTATTTATTACCCACGTCTTACATGCTTTAAATTGACAAAATAGCGTATTTTGTTATTTTAATGGTTTCAAACCGCAACCGGTTTCATAAAGATGTTGCGGAAGAATGTTGTTCTGTAGTACACTTTTTGCATGACGTCACAGTGTAATGACGTCACTACGCCCTGCTCGTCTGCCCCCTTGGTAACCGACGTCACGATGCATGTCGGCTGTCATCGCCTCATACAGCCTCCTACATTATACTACTCCGTAGCATCCCGTTTCTTGGTTTGCAGTTGCTTCATTCGGCTAACCTCACTGGTGGAAACTTTACGTTTATGTTTTTCGACGCATATAATGTCTCAGTTCGACTCACAATTATACAGCGATACGGCAACGTTCGCAATGTTTACATTCCCACAATGCATCTAAGTTGTAGAATGAATGAATTCACGTGTTTGTTATGAATGAACAGGTAGTTCCGTCACAACGTGACCTAACTGAGAGGTCATCGGTTATCCAATCAAATCGTTAGAATGTCACGTCAAGTCGTTACGACACAGGTCAACGCGATACGACACTTGTGTGACGTACGGGATTAGTATGCAACTACCCATACGTTGACCACGTGGGTAATAAACAGCAATATTACACTAGTGTAATACCGCGAGACATATGACGTCATAATGGTTACAGTTATGACGTCACAATGCTAATGTCTCTGTCGCAATGGTATTAGACCTTGCCTGACTCGAGGAAAATTGATATGAGAGTCATCACACTATAGACAGTTTCTATCAATTTATGTTGGAGGGTAATAAACAGAATACTAAACTCGCTTCCGTGAAATACCCTTTTTATCAAACTCATGAAAGATTTAGCATCATTAACTCGTTTAATACAATTGGTATTACATGGAAGGTCGTTTAGTATCCTCTTTAGAATATGGATGTACAGGGGAACCTTTTTTTATTTCAAAACGTATATTGTTGTTGTTTTATTAAATAACCATGGTTGTTACAGTAAAGGAGTGTATGACATTACCTATGTATTGTGGGTTCACTCCCAACTGAAAAGCTGAGTAGAGAAATCAAAGTATGATGATTATTTTTACCCTTAATGAGTGTAGAGGGATTATCTTAGCTTGGGTTCTAGTGTGGAGGGATTATCTTAGCTTGGGTTCTAGTGTGGAGGGATTATCTTAGCTTGGGTTCTAGTGTAGAGGGATTATCTTAGCTTGGGTTCTAGTGTGGAGGGATTATCTTAGCTTGGGTTCTAGTGTGGAGGGATTATCTTAGCTTGGGTTCTAGTGTGGAGTTATCTTAGGAGGGATTATCTTAGCTTGGGTTCTAGTGTGGAGGGATTATCTTAGCTTGGGTTCTAGTGTGTGGAGGGATTATCTTAGCTTGGGTTCTAGTGTGGAGGGATTATCTTAGCTTGGGTTCTAGTGTGGAGGGACTATCTTAGCTTGGGTTCTAGTGTGGAGGGATTATCTTAGCTTGGGTTCTAGTGTGGAGGGATTATCTTAGCTTGGGTTCTAGTGTGGAGGGACTATCTTAGCTTGGGTTCTAGTGTGGAGGGATTATCTTAGCTTGGGTTCTAGTGTGGGAGGGATTATCTTAGCTTGGGTTCTAGTGTGGAGGGATTATCTTAGCTTGGGTTCTAGTGTGGAGGGATTATCTTAGCTTGGGTTCTAGTGTGGAGGGATTATCTTAGCTTGGGTTCTAGTGTAGAGGGATTATCTTAGCTTGGGTTCTAGTGTAGAGGGATTATCTTAGCTTGGGTTCTAGTGTAGAGGGATTATCTTAGCTTGGGTTCTAGTGTAGAGGGATTATCTTATCTTAGCTTGGGTTCTAGTGTAGAGGGATTATCTTAGCTTGGGTTCTAGTGTAGAGGGATTATCTTAGCTTGGGTTCCAGTGTTGAGGGATTATCTTAGCTTGGGTTTTAGTGTGGAGGGATTATCTTAGCTTGGGTTCTAGTGTGGAGGGATTATCTTAGCTTGGGTTCTAGTGTGGAGGGATTATCTTAGCTTGGGTTCTAGTGTGGAGGGACTATGTCCAATTTTCAAAACAAACAACCTGTAGTATACGTATACAAAGTTTTATTCAGAGTAGAGGAGTTATCCCCAAATATCCAAACAAATAATGAACGAGCACAAGATCCCTGATTCACTCAGCTACTAATGATTCAAACACTGTATAGAATGCAAATATTGTTTCTTTGATGTAAATATATTGATATGAGGAAGGTATGTGTTGATCGATGTGTGCCATGTGTTACAGTGCGGAAAGTCTAGGTAGGTACATGGTGAGGGCGGGAGAGTACAACACGAAGACTCACGACAGTACAGAACAATACTACAGCGTCCACAAGATTATACCCCATCCAGAGTTCAATGTTGGTAATATATGTTCATATTCAGTGGACCTCGGAATCTGGGTTAGGGAATTGATCTGCAGTAAGAGGCGCCTAACGGGATCGGGCAGTCAGGTTGCTTAACATGTCATCGTATCCCCAGTTGCGTTGATCGATGCTCATGCTGTTGGTCACTGGATTGTTTGGTCAGGCACGATTAATTGCAGACAGCCACCATATATCTGGAATTCTGCTGTAATATTAAGTTGAATATTCTTTTGGGGATATCAGCTTCTGTTCATGGATATTCCTTTGTTGCAAGACAATTTATACTACTAATTGATGTTGTTCACTTTCAAAAGTTCTAAATATAAACACTGTACGTTTACACAGAAAAAGCACACAACACATTCTAGACCCAGGTTTGGAACTTATAAAAAGAACTTGATACAATTATGGACATAAAATGCTTTACCACGCGATGTGAAAGCTTAACGAATGCCTTGTTGACCTTTACTTTGCAGAAGGTCACTGCTCAAAATGACATAAGCTTTGATGCGCATCGGCAACAGCCAATTTGCCTTCAACAACAATGTCAGAGCGATTTGCCTCCCTGCATCGGCCAACTCCCCACGGGCTGCTTTGTGACTGGATGGGGTGAAACCCACGGTAAGAGTGAGTGAGTGAGTGGAATGAATGATGCTTTAAACCCGCATCAGCAATATTGCAGCTATTAGCGGCTCACGGTAAGTAAGGATGCTGAAAGGATACCACAGGGTACGGAAGGAGCATCCAAGTATCTTACCTCGTGAGCTGTTAGGTAAATCAAGACCATGTTATCCACACCATGTTATCCAACACCGTATGCGTAATGTTTTTGTTTACACAGTCTCCGAGGATATATTGGAATATATTCCTTCCTAGTTAACAACATATACACGTCGGACCATACGATACATTAGTGTGTTTGTTTGTTTCCGTGTTAGTTGTTTGTTTGTTGTTGCCCAACTTAACACTATTCCAGCTGTGTGCGTGTGAGTATGCGTGTGCGTGTGCGTCTTTTGCACCAATAGAGTTGCGTGTTGTAAGGATGCTACGCAGGGGACTAAATCGTCCATTTTGAATTTATGAGACACCTGGACACCTGGTGTATCTATTTTTAGATGATGCGTCTTTGTCTCAGGTCTATATTGAGATCTATGAAGGTGTGAACATCTGGTGTGTCTATTTTAGACTCGGGTGGGTAATAAAAGGTCCCCATGAACAGCCCTCTATACACAGTTTCAGTCATTACACCTAGTGATTACACATTGTGGATATACCAGTGTATTTCTTATGGGATTACTAATCAACCTGGCATTATACTGTGTGATTCACTGGGTTTATATATTTCAATAGCTCAGCCTCAACCAACTACATCTCTGGAGTAATTAAACATTGTGTATATTTCTCACTTGATTTCAAAACATCTTTGGATTATACACTGGCGACGTTGACTATACATTAATATACCACCGGTGTGCGCCATACTTTATCTCTCTCAAAGCGAGCGCCCATTATCGCAGTATCAATTCCCGTCTGACTAATGCTGTAACTATAACTATATTAAAATTGTGAAGAAACAGATTGATTCATACTGTACTCCAACAATGAATGACTCATTTTGCCCACCCGTAAGTCCGGCCTACAGATGTTCAAAGCTATGTTTACGGGAGGAATCCCTCTCCCACCCAAGCATGAAGATTAAGAAAACAAGCGTATAATGGAGTGAAAAATAAAATAACTTCAAATACATGTTACCGAGTGTACATGTTAATACTTTCTTTTAATTTGCGACAGCCTACGAATGAGTGTACCATAGTTCATTCTGCCATAACATTGCCTCTCTCCACATTCAATGGACCGAGAAGCATGACGGCCTTCACGCCCATTGAAGAAACCAGTCATACGTCGCGTCCCCCGCGCCATTTGAAAAAAATGATAAATATAACAAAAGTCTAGGCCATGCCCGTCGATGAAAAAAAGGCTGAGTAAAATGTCGAAACTCATAGCGAAATCACACACAGCATGCTTCTCACCAAAATATCCCATGTAGAACGAGTCACCATGAACTTGCTTTAAAATCCCACATAATCATATGAATAAATACAAGCCCGATACACACAGAAGAATACAACCTATAGATAGTTGATTACACATGACCTCACATATGCCATGAGCCTGCTTTAAAACTCACACACACCATATGGATAAACACAGCCCGATACACACACAGGCTACGATCGATAGAAAAGTTGACCGCGACTCCGTTTGCGCTACGAATCATTAAATCTCGGCACAATAAACACAGTCCGCATCATAATCAGGCCTTTCCCTAGATTCATCGTTTTTTTTCTAAACTATGGCTTGCATTAAACCAATTTTAGTGTGTAGATGTACTCGCATTGTTAACATCTGACTCACGATTCTGTCGTCAAACAACATTATTCACACAATACGTTCATACGCAAAAAATACTCACAAATTAGAATAGAGAATGATCCATCACATACATTCCACACCTACTGTGCTGTTTTAAACGGTCATGAAACCGCCAGAATACCTAAACACGCACAGCTTTAACATACCGCCTGTACACGGCGGTGAACAAAACATTCAAGCTTGGCGCCAACAGCCCCTGCCTAAAACCCGGTTCTGTCAAAGAGCTGGATCGCAAAAGGGTCTATCAAACCGGTTCGCAAATGGTTCTGACTCAATATGGCTACATGTCCAAACCGGCCACATGTCCAAAACGGCTTTGTAGACCAAAATGGCTTTACAACACTAGTGTAATAGCTTATGTATTTATAAACCGTTTATATATATATATATGTATATAAATATATTCATTACAGATCATTAAAATTGTTGTTGTATTCAATACAATGAACTGTAACAGTTGTTATCTTCAATACCATGAACTGAAACAGTGGTTATCTTGTATTCAATCAACAGGAATGACGATTAAACTGAAACTTGTATGTCTGATAATAGTATGAGGAGGTTAAACATTTTCGTGGATTCAGTGAAATAGGGTTGAAATTGGTATTATAAAAAACCAAGAATTGTACAACAGTTGTCTTATGTCAATCCTCCAGCAATACATTCAGTGAGTTTAGTACACTCTCAGCAGCTCTATGGCGGTGGTCTGTACATAATTGCCCACACAATCCAGTGATCAACAGCATGAGCGTCATTCTACACCATGTGTCATGTGTCAACCAGCGAGCCTGACCACCCGATCCCGTTAGTCGCCTCTTATGACAAGCATGGGTTACTGAAGGGTAACAGGGGAACAATACATTAAGAAACAAGAGAGATATACAGATTTCATTGTTTTCTGATGAATGTGGTTGCACTGGTTGCTGCTGCTGCTGCATGCCACCTGTGTGTGTGTATCGGGCTGTAGTTAATTCATGTAATTGTGTGTGAGTTTTAAAGTGAGGCTCAATGGCATATGTGAGTCATGTGTAATCAACTATCTATAGGTTTGTATTCTCCTCTGTGTGTATCGGGCTGCATTTATTCATATGCCGTTATGTGGGATTTTAAAGTAAGTTCATGGTGATTGGTTCTACATGGGATTATTTTGGTGAGAAGCATGCTGTGTGTGATTTCTGCCATGGTTTCAACATTTTATCAGTTTTTTCTCATCGACAGGCATGGCTAGGACTTTGTTATTTGTTTAAATCTATATATTTATCATTTTTCAAAATGGCGGCGGGGACGTTGATGTATGACCTGGTTTCCTTCAATGGGCGTGAAGGCCGTCATGCTTCTCGGTCCATTTGAACGTAAGGAGGCAATGTTATGGCAGAATGAAACATGGTACACCTCATTCGTAGGCTGTCGCAACAAATTAAAAGAGTGACAATATGTACACCTCGGTAACATGTATTTAGTGCCTTATTTTTTCGCCATTATACGCATGCGTTCTTTAATCTTCATGCTTGGGTGGGAGAGGTTATTCCCTGCAAGCTGATAGCTTTGAATATCTGTAGGTCGGACTTACAGGGTGGGCAAATTGAGTCATTCGATTGTTGAGTACAGTGCATGATCAATCTGTTTCTTCACATTTTAAATAGTTCCATAGTTGATCGGGACTGAAATTGATACTGCGATAATGGGCGCTCGCACAGAGATAAAAAGAGAAATACACCGGTATATGGTGGAATTCACCCAGTGTATAATCAAAAGTGAAAATCAAGTGAGAAATATACACAATGTTTAATGCCACTCCAGAGATGTGAAGTTGAGGATTTCTGAGGCTATTGAAAATGTAACCCCATTGAATCACACAGTAATGCCAGGTTGATTAATAACTTCCCATAAGACGCATGTATATCACTGTAAATCCACAGGGTGTAACTGAGAGCTGTGGCGCTACTGTTGATTGCTGTGCCGTACCCACCCGAGTCTAATTGGTAAAGCCAGACACACCAGATGTTCACACCATAGATCTCAATGCTAAGACCTGAAGAGACAAAAGACATCTAAAAATAGATATACACCAGTGGGCTCCCGGAAGTATCATTATAAATTCAAAATGGACGATTTAGTCCCTAAGTAGCATCATTACAAATAGTTGCGTCAGGTAGGTCTGCTAGAGATAATAACTCAGAGAACTACCATGAGCCAGATTTCTCAGCATCATGCTAACTGGTAAGAAAGTGTAATCCCCAAAAATATAACTAATGTTACATACTATGTTTGTTGGAAGAAGGCCAGTGTGTTCATGTTATTATTGAGACGTGTGTGTTACTGTAATCTTCCTGTGTCCAAGGTCAGGAGGAGGCGGTTTCCTGAAGAAGGCTAGTGTGTCCATATTGTGTGAGATGTGTGTGTCACTGTAAAATTCCTGTGTCCAATGCCAAGGGCAGCGGTTTCCTGAAGAAGGCCAGTGTGTCCATATTGTGTGAGAGACATGTGTTGGCAACTGTAATATTCCTGTGTCCAATGTCAGGACGGCGGTTTCCTGAAGAAGGCCAGTGTGTCCATATTGTGTGAGACGTGTGTAACTGTATTCCTGTGTCCAATGTCAGATTTTAGCGGTTTCCTGAAGAAGGCCAGTGTGTCCATATATTATTGTGGTACGTGTGTGTACTGTAACATTCCCTGTGTTTAAGGTCCCACCAGGACAGCGTATTCCTACAGAAGGCTAAAACCATTTGTGTGAGACGTTGTGGCATAACTGTAAATATTCCTGTGTCCAATGTCAGGACAGCGGTTTCCTGAAGAAGGCTAGGTGTGTCCATATTGTGTGATACGTGTATTGTTACTGTGCCAGTAATTCCTGTGTCCAAGGTCAGGAGAGCTGGTTTCCTGAAGAGAGGGCTCAGTGTGTCCCATATTGTGTGAGATGTGTGTGTAACTGTAAAATTCCTGTGTCCAATGCCAGGACAGCGGTTTTCACTGAAGGCTGGAGTGTGTCCAAGAGAGATTGTGTGAGACGTGTGTAAACTGTAACATTCCTGTGGTCCAATGTCAGGACAGCGTTTTCCTGAAGAAGGCCAGTGTGTCCATATCATATTGTGTGAGACATGCGTCTAACTGTAACATTCTGTGTTTAAGGTCACCAGGACAGCGGTTTCCTAGAAGAAGGCTAGATATTCCATATTGTGTGAGACGTGTTATTGTAACTGTAACATTCCTGTGTCCAATGTCAGGACCTCGGTTGAAGAAAGCTGGAGTGTGTCCATATTATTTGTGAGACGTGTGTGTAACAACATTCCATAATGTTTACAGTCACCAGGACAGCGGTTTCCCTGAAGAAGGCCAGTGTGTCCATATTGTGAGACAGTGTGTATTAATAACTGCTAACATTTACCTGTGTCCAATGTCAGGACAGCCAGTTTCCTGAAGAAGAACTAGATGTGTCCATATTGTGTGAGACACGTGTGTAACTGTAACATTCCTGTGTTTAAAGGTCGCCAGGACAGTAGTTTCCTGAAGAAGGCTAGTGTGTCGATTGTGCCGTTGGCTGAATGTAGGACAGACTACGCCAACGTTAACTACAACGTCTTCGACAAATGCATATGTGCATTCTGGTGGCTTGAAAATGATGCCTGTGAGTAAAGATTTATGCTCGTATGGAATGCATTATCCGAGAGGCCTTGGAACTGTTACCATTTGGGCCGGGTGATAATAGTGTAGTGGGTAGAGGATGGTGTTCTGGCCGTAAACCATCAGCTACACCAGCAAACAGGGGGCTGCGTGAGGCGCGCCCTGAGTGGGTAAAGCGTTCGCTCGTCACGCCACTAAAGGCCCTCGTGAGTAAAAGTGTGTAGAAGTCTATTTCGCGGTGTGTCCCGCCGTGATATTGTTGGAATTTTGCTAAAAGCGGCGTAGACCCCAGCTCACACACTCACCAAACAAACCAGTAACTAATATTAGAGCAGCGACTACGCCGATCGAGGGCAACGAACGATGGATATTCTAATGAGGCTATTCGATTAGCACCCACAGAATGCTACAGATGCTACTGAATAATATGATGTTTTGGGTTTTTCGTCAGGGCATCTCTGGGAGGCCCCTCGTGTGTATGGAGCAGCGTGTCACTGAAAGGGTTGGTGTTGTGGAGACGAAGCAGTGCGGTAGGCAGGGTTTCGGCGTCTACATAGAGTCTTCAGCTACAGAGAGTGGATACACAACATCATCAGCTGATGCGGGCATTTTGGTGCTGTTATGGCCGATCGATTCTAATTGATATCTGCCAGATACAATAAAGACTGTGGGTTTTGCTAATGGTTAATCTACATCTGTTCGTTTTGTGGGGGAGGGTTGGAATCCCAGGATGCAGTCCCTTTATAGACCATTTTGTTTGTTGGTTGGTTGGATTTGGTTTGCACGCGCCATCAAGCGCCATAGCGGCGGCGGTCTGTACATAATCGAGTGTCGACCAAACAATCCAGTGACCCGCAGCATCATGAGCATGAATCTATGCAACTGGGGATACGATGACATGCAACCAAGTAAGTGATCCCGTTAGTCTCCTCTTACGACAGGCATGGAGCTATGAAATCTAACCCGGGTACCTATCAAATTACCACGTCAGCACTGACGGGAATCCATATTAAACCTCGTTTCATGCACGTGACTGTCACGTACGGATCATGGCGGTGATTGTGTTTGCTTTCTTCTGAAATCATATTGGATATTAAAAGCATATCGCGCAACCATACCGAAACATATCTGGCGTACGATGTGATTCATACGCGTCACTGGCAGAGAGAGGTATGAAGCAGTGAGCCCAAATTACAGGTTGCGTGTGGCTTGGTATTATGGATCTACTGGACATAGTTTCCGCTATATTCAAATTGCTGTTTCGCGGGAGTGAATACGATGTCCGTTCTAAACGGCACAGCCAGTTTTAATTAAATACTCCTTTAATTGTGGATATGGGTTTGTTAGTGGAAACCAGCGTGCCCTCGAATATTTCTTTTTGTCAACTGCATCATGAATAGAGCAACATGACAGCTCTGTTTTGATACACAGCCCCAAAGCCCCAACCTATCGAAATGGGGTGTCCGGTTTCGGACACCGCTATATTAACCTCGACTGTGACAGGCTGGTACAGGACGAAACTGATAAATTGCTACACTTTGATACGAAAGGTTCAATCACAATGAAAACAAATTAGTTTGAATGCGGAATCTACTTTCCCTTTTTCGTGAACAAATTAAAAGCAACCATTTTGGCACGGCGTTCAATCCCAGCCAAATTGATTATTGTGGTACTGTATTGCCGTAACTACAA